TCAAAAAATTTGCTGGTCATCAGATTTCATTAAAATTCAAGTATTTAATAGTGATTGGATCGAGAGCTGTATCTAGACTACAACAATATGCATGCATGCCTCCACACGATGGTAGCAACTGCGACCTCCCACATTGGAAATGAGGCACTTGATGATTGGATACTGTTGAACTATCATTAATATTAATGAGAACTATAAATGATGCAACAAAACCATTTCTGGATTGGTCAATTCTAACATCCATTTTGATATATAAAAATGTATATTTATATACATTTATTGAAACGTGCTTTGGTTACATTTATATGTAGATTGTAAATGTATGGTATTCATATGGAGACTGTAAACCACTATGGTTGTATTCATGTGGAGATTGTAAACCACTATGGTTGTGTTCATATGGAGATTGTAAACCACTATGGTTGCATTCATGTGGAGATTGTAAACCACTATGGCTGTATTCATGTGGGGACTAAACCACTATGGTTGTATTCATATGGAAATTGTGAACCACTATGACTATTCGTGTGGAGACTAAATCACTATGGCTGTATTCGTATGGAAATTGTAAACAACTATGGCTGTATTCATGTGGAGACTAAATCACTATGGCTGTATTCATATGAAGATTGTAAACTACTATGGTTTTATTCATATATGGAGGTTGTAAACACTGGCTGTGTTCATATGAAGATTGAAACCACTATATTTGTATTCATATGGAGATTGTAAACCAATATGGCTGTATTTATATGAAGATTGTAAACCACTATGGATGTGTGTTCATATGCAGAATGTAAACCACTATAGTTGTATTCATATGGAGATTGTAAACCACTATAGTTGTATTCATATGGAGATTGTGAACCACTATGGCTGTATTCATATGAAGATTGAAACCACTATATTTGTATTCATATGGAGATTGTAAACCACTATGGCTGTATTTATATGAAGATTGTAAACCACTATGGCTGTGTTCATATGAAGATTGTAAACCACTATGTTGTATTCATATGCAGAATGTAAACCACTATAGTTGTATTCATATGGAGATTGTAAACCACTATAGTTGTATTCATATGGAGATTGTGAACCACTATGGTTGTATTCATATGGAGATAGTTTACCACTATAGTTGTATTCATATGGAGATTGTAAACCACTATAGTTGTATTCATATGCAGAATGTAAACCACTATAGTTGTATTCATATGGAGATTGTAAACCACTATAGTTGTATTCATATGGAGATTGTGAACCACTATGGCTGTATTCATATGAAGATTGAAACCACTATATTTGTATTCATATGGAGATTGTAAACCACTATGGCTGTATTTATATGAAGATTGTAAACCACTATGGTAGTATTCATATGGTGATTGTAAACCACTATGGTTGGCTTCATATGGAGATTGTAAACCTTTATGGTTGTATTCATATGGAGATTGTAAACATCTATGGTTGTATTTATATGGAGATTGTAAACCACTATGGTTGTATTCATATTGAGATTGTAAACCACTATGATTGTATTCATATGGAGATTGTAAACCACTGTGGTTGTATGCATATGGAGATTGTAAACCACTATGGTAGTATTCATATGGTGATTGTAAACCACTATGGTTGGTTTCATATGGAGATTGTAAACCACTGTGGTTGTATTCATGTGGAGATTGTAAACCACTATGGTTGTATTCATGTGGAGATTGTAAACCTCTATGGTTGTATTCATGTGGAGATTGTAAACCTCTATGGTTGTATTCATATGGAGATTGTAAACCTCTATGGTTGTATTCATATGGTGATTGTAAACCACTATGGTTGGCTTCATATGGAGATTGTAAACCTTTATGGTTGTATTCATATGGAGATTGTAAACATCTATGGTTGTATTTATATGGAGATTGTAAACCACTATGGTTGTATTCATATTGAGATTGTAAACCACTATGATTGTATTCATATGGAGATTGTAAACCACTGTGGTTGTATGCATATGGAGATTGTAAACCACTATGGTAGTATTCATATGGTGATTGTAAACCACTATGGTTGGTTTCATATGGAGATTGTAAACCACTATGGTTGTATTCATGTGGAGATTGTAAACCACTATGGTTGTATTCATGTGGAGATTGTAAACCTCTATGGTTGTATTCATGTGGAGATTGTAAACCTCTATGGTTGTATTCATGTGGAGATTGTAAACCTCTATGGTTGTATTCATATGGAGATTGTAAACCACTATGGTTGTATTCATTTTGAGATTGTAAACCACTATGGTTGTATTCATGTGGAGATTGTAAACCTCTATGGTTGTATTCATGTGGAGATTGTAAACCTCTATGGTTGTATTCATGTGGAGATTGTAAACCTCTATGGTTGTATTCATATGGAGATTGTAAACCTCTATGGTTGTATTCATGTGGAGATTGTAAACCAATATGGTTGACAATGTAACATATTGTGAACAAGATACTTCGCGATGGGTGTTTTCTGCAATGAAATCTTTACAACTTGCTAGACCAGTTTTGCAGTTCCCATCCTATTCAAATATAATTTTGTTGATTTTGCATGATGACTGGCAATATTCAGGCCCATTTTTAACAAATCCAAAATCACTCGAATAATTTTGGTTAATTTTCTTGTGTACTACGATTATATGTTTGCATTTATATTTTTATGAATTGTTTAGGTCTACTATAATTTTAGTAAATGTACACTTACAAAAACGGCCATTTACATTTTAGTATAGGAATCCTTATATTAACCTGGTCAATGATGTAGTTTTCCCATACATGTAACATGATGCGGACATTGTACGAATATTTTGTTCCTTGATTTTGCATTTACAGTTTCGCTATTTAGGTTACATTACGAAGTCTTTTATAATTACTCCCAAGTGTTTCCCTTCAACCCATCCATTTTTTGAAAAAAAAAGAAGACATGGTAATTATGGTAATATGTTAGATTGTCTACAGCATATCGTATCCAGCACTTGTTCGGAGACACAGCATTGTTTTGTCTATTTCGCTTACAAATCTGCACCAATCTCTACGTTTGTTACGGACTTATCCCCAAAGACGACGTGTGAATTTTAGCCAGGTAATTACTTACTTGTCGTTGTCTGGCTGGCATTTTTTTCAAATTGAAACGAGACGTTTCTATTGGCCATTGGAATAACATTTGAAATTTTTCAAATGACGTCATAGCGATTGGATAGTTAGATTCAACTACCATTGAAATGTATAACTATAAAATTGAAGGAAACGGGTTTGTTGGGTCGATGAAAGCATGCTTTATTTGAATGGGACATTTTCTATATGCAACCAAATAAAACACTGTTTCTAGACACAACGAACTAGGAAGAGAAGAAA